GAGAGAAATTGGCTTTGTGGAATCAATATATAGCCACTGTGAGTGCTTGAAAAGAAGTACTATACTAAAAACGCCACTGTAACACTTCCTGAAGTAAGGGGAACTATCCAAAACAGCACTACTGTATAACACTTCCTGAAGTAAGGGAAAGTATCCAAAACAGCACTACTGTTTAACACTTCCTGAAGTGAAGGGAAGTATCCAAAACAGTACTACTGTATAGCACTTCCTGAAGTGAGGTGAACTATACTAAAACCTCTACTGTAACACTTTCTGAAGTAAGGTGAACTATACTAAAATTCTCTACTGTAACACTTTTTGAAGTACACTGAATCTTTTCTGTGAAACTCAGACTCCAGGTTAGTTATAAACCCCAGCCAAATACATGTTTTTACTCAGAGATTCTTTTCTAAGTGGGCCAGGAAAGTTTACTTAAAGTGGCTGTTTTCTGACTCAGGTAGAAATGTGCAGCAAATCACCTTGCAGGAGTCATTTTTTTATCTATTTATTTTTTTATTTTTTTTTATTTTTTATTTTTTTTTTTTTAGTTTTTTTCCAGAGTTTCTCCCTGCAGTTTTAGTGCCTGTCCTGGATCTCCCTCTGTAGACCAGGCTGCCCCTAGAACTCACAGAGATCCACCTAGCTCTTCCTCCCGAGTGCTGGGATTACGGGTAACTTTAGGAGGAGGAAAAGGGAGATTTAATTTTAGATGTAGATTTAGATTTAATTTTAGATTTAGATTTAGATCTGTATTAGAATGGGCTAGGATGCACTGTTGAAGGAGATTGGGGAGAAGGGAGAATAAAGAAAGGAGAAAAGGAAAAGGGGACAGGGGTATTTGTCCAGGAGGAACAAGGGACATCCTCTGGATAGAGGGTAGACACACATGGCACATAGGCAAAAGGTTTATAAAGGTGATGGGCCAATCTGTTTTGTAATCCAGACTTAAAGTTACAAAGAGGTTAATGAATTAACATGCCTGGGTTTGTGGCTTATTTGTCCTGTTTGTTTTTGAAGGATTGTGTCCCAGACACATGCTTAAAAGAAGTGAATTATGAACCATTGAAATTTTTAAAAATTTTATTTTATAATTTAATTTAATTTTACATATCAGCCACAGATTCTTTTGTCCTCCTCCCTCCGGCCCTCCAACTTCCTCCCAGTCCACCCGGGATACCCATCTCCTCCAGGGTAAAGACTCCCCTGGGGATTGAGTTCAACCTGTTAGATTCAGTCCAGGCAGGTCCATTCTCCTCCTTCCAGGCTGAGCCAAGTGTCCCTGCATAAGCCCCAGGTTCCAAACAGCCAGCCCATGCACTGAGGACAGGTCTTGGTCCCACTGCCTGG